CTTTCACAACACAATTCTGTAATTACTGATTCCACAAGCAACATAACAACAGCTGTTCTTGTGATATTTTAATACCACTGGAATTAGGAGAGCTAAGAAATTCAGAGGTATATGACAGTTTTGAAAATATCTGTTTCAGTATGAGTTTAATCCAAAATGAAATAGTTTTTGCTATCCCTAGGCAAAAAAGGCATGGACTAAACACTGAAGAAAAAACTGGTGAGGGACCATGATGGTGAGATTTATTCAACTCAGAAGTAAAGCTATTCCTTAAAGAAAATCTGTATTTCTTTGAAACAGTTTACATGTACCCAGAAAGCACAGGAATAGCTACCATGGTAGTTGATTGGAAAATCAAATTTCCACAATAGTTTTGAAAACAAATTTTCATCTTTAACCTAGACAAAAAGACCAAAGTTCCAGTTTGTTCAGAGGAACTGCACAATTAATGAATAAGGATAAACCAAAAATTTTATTACTATTTTCTAATTACTATCATTCCCTGACTTACACTACTGAAATGGGGAAAGACAGACACTCAAGAAACCATAAAACTGCAAGAATCTGCAGTATCAGGTTCCCTACTTGAGAAGCAGCTGAGAGGTTCAGACAGCAAGCTAAGAAAAACCAGGCAGATTTCATAATGTTTCCACAAAATCAGCAAACTCTGATTCACATTTTGCTTCTTTGTTCTTTTGTATCACGCAGTGGGAATCTTTTCCACCCTAAAATATCCATGGAATAGGCAGAAATGGAGTAGTTCCTTCCTCATGTGGCTTATGAAGGAACCAATCAAACCATCTGCTGCTTTTCTTCATAACTTCTCGAAGGGGCTAAAACATGTAACAAACTCAAATTAGAGTAAGGCATTCAGATTTATTGGAATAATCTACAATTTTGGGGGCCTCACTGGAAGAAGGACATTGACAAAGAGCAGAACTATTCAGAAATTGATAACAAATATGCTACACAGGGCTGCATGCAATCACTGGGATCCATTGGGCAAACCATTACTCTTCTAGTGGCCAAGCAGACCAGGATGAATTGACAGAAGATGGGAAAGAGGTTTGTGCTACCTTGTTTCTTAGGTATTTGAAACAGACTAGGACTAGGAAGGCACCAGGTCTGCTTCAGCACCATGAGAAGATCATCTTGCTTGAAGAATGGTAAAAGGTGACATTATCTCAACCCTTACAATTGCCTGGCTAATCCTTGATCACTGCATATAGATCTACAGGACTGGGCTTAAAGACTTGAAAGACGTGTCATTCAAGCTTGAGAAACCAGGGCTCCCCACCCCTAGGGGAGAAAAAAAAAAAAAAAAAAAAAAAAAGCAGAAAAGAGGGTAGAAGCATTTTCTTAGACTGAGGTTTCCCCTTTATAAATTCAAAGTAAGGTCCCTCTTTATTTTTGGAAGAGCCTGGGAAAACTTTGAAGTGTGGAGTTACAAAGTGAGACACTCAGATTGTTTTGTAGATCCTGCAGCTCGTAGTGAACCATGAGGGGCTGTTTAGTTTTTAAATCCCACATAGACATCTTCTATTGTTTGGAAATAGTATTTCACCTAAATAGCTTAGAGAATATCACCATATATTCCTAGCTCACACTGTATTTGGTTTTTGTGGTGGTGACTGAGACTCGTGGACATTTTGGTCACAGTCAGAAGGCTTTGGGCAATCCACAGAGACTGGAGAGGCAGAAGTTGCCACTTGGGATCTTTGTTCTGGCTAATTCTTGTCAGTCCATGGGCAGGAATGCTTGCTTAAGAGAACAGCCACAGACAAGACAGGCATTGAGACAGTTGTTTTACCTTGAGCACTCAATCTGATTTCCAAGTACAAGATTGGTTCAAGAGCTGCAAACAATGTTTGTCTCCTTTCCAGTCTTGGAGTCTTAGACTCGTGAACATTCAGTTCTTCTTTGAACCTTCCTATATTCTCCACCTCATGGCAGGGAAGTTGTTTTCAGCCAGTCTTGATCAATTTTCACAATCCTAGCTGAGCCTTTCACTCAGCTAATGTATCAGGTATACAGGACTCTTCACTGGCTAATGATGTGATCTAATCTGCTAATTCTATTATCATTATAGCTGTCAATAGAAGAGGGCTGAGGAAGAAAAGCATCATCCTGAAAATATCTCTCAAAAATGAAAGAAGGTTTCTTCACAAAGCTACGGACTTCAAATTGTGAACCACAAATTCATATAATTGATTAGAAGATAAATATCTTATGCACTTTTTTGCACATGTTATGGAGAACACAAGAGTTCCTGCACTAACTTTTCCTTTTTAATAAAAATACAGAAGTCCTTCTTGGATATTACTAATTCCACTCTGTCTGAGAAAATAAAAATTAAATTAAATTAAAATAAAATAAAATAGTAACAGCAGCCTTACTAAGGCTAATCAGAATATGACGCATCTAGGAATGAATAATGCCCAAGGAGACCTCAGGGTTAGAGTGGGCAGTGAATCGACAATGCAATATGGCAGGGAACAAGAAAGCCTGCAAATGCGGTCTGTCATAAAGAGAGATAGACTGTGTCCAGAAAGCTCCCCTGGGAATGTTCTGCAAATATTCACTGAGTTCCTGACCTGTCATTGCTGAAAAAAAAGAAAATAATGAGGGAACTAGGGGAAGTTCAAAGAAGAGCAACCAGAATGATGTCCAGGCTGGAAAAACTCAGCCGTGGAAAGACTAAAATGGCCAGATAATGGCAGTGGTACCTAAGCGTGTTTTCAGGGTGATTTGCTTGAGTTCACAAATATATGCAAAGCAGAATGCAGCTTCTTTACACTGCTTTGCCTTTTGTAGTATCATTCATAGTCTTTAAAAGCATTAATTCTGCCAACACAGTGGCTGTGGGAAATAGCTTGAAGACTTTCTTAAGGAGCCTGCTGTCCACAAAAATCAGATTCGTTACCTAGTGTGCAACAAACCAATAATTACACACTTAAGAGAGACATTGATTATTTATTTCACAGTTGCACAAGACTGGGTGCTTGGTGGTATTCCACAAATCAAGCACACCTGCTACCAAATTTTTACTATTTATACATTTCAGCAAACAAAAGAGTGGTGTTTATTGGTGACAAGTTACATAGTTCTCTATTAGTTAGTAGCCTATCTTCTATTGGTTAATGATTCTCTTGCTTCTCATGCTAATTAATCTTTATTCTCAGTCTTTCTCTTGAGTTGTTGGATTTCTTGGGTCGATGGTCCATGAGTCGGCAGTCATGATCTCTCCCTGCCAGAATTACCTTTCACCCAGTTGGAGCTGATTTCAGCACAATTGCTGAGTTATCTTTATTAGTTTCTTCCTTACCTTGGGACTTCTGCCAGTTGTCCTTGTGGCTCGCAAATTCTGCATTCTTTGTGTCCACTAATGGAACATCCTTCTTCCTAAGCTCTGGTAACCTTCCCCTAGGTCCAAGATCACTGAAGCATGTCCGGTCCTAACCCTTAGCAAGGCAATTCTATCAACAAGTAATTTGTTTTTCTAACACCTGGACACTACTTAGAGCATGCTTGTTAGCTGTGTTTCATGGATTAAATCTCCCTTCTTGTTGACTAGTCTTGAGAGTACACAAAGATCAAACATTAAAGAACATCCTTCCTTAAGAAAAATTTTACATATCCCATATTTTACAACAAGCCCAGCACCAGTTTCAGCTGTGCTGTGAACATGGTGCTGCAGCACTAAGCACAAGCAGCAAGATTGCTACCTGAATTCCTGGTGCTCAGGGTACTTAAATTAAACTAAAAGCCTTGAAATAGTCCAGAAACAGGACACAAAGATGGCTTAGAGCCAGCACAGACTCATCCTTAAGACATATAGCATGTAGAAATTGTGAAAGGTGGATAGGAGCAAGGGAAGAAAAAAGGAAGAGAAAAAGAAAGAAAAACAAGATGACTTTAGATTTACTAGCAGGGGAAAAAATCATAAAGGTCAAACCTAAACAGTGGAGATCTGAGAGGTAAATGGCAGAAAGCTTCACTTCTTGCAACATTTCCTATGAATCTTAAGAAGACACTGTGCAGCTGAATTGGAGTGGACTCTTGTCAGGTAAATAATAAACTGGCTGGCAATTTCCATCTTGTAATTAAAAATATAGATTAAGAAAACGTAAAGCCTTATTTCAGGCTGCATTTAGGCGGTTGGGGGTGTTGGGGGTGGGGGGGAGAGATTGCACAAAATGCATGTGTGCAGAGGGGCTCCATGAGTCCCACAAGCAAAAGCTGAGATTGCAGTCCGTTCTGCATCAAGATTAGTCATAACCTCCTGAATGGGGAGCCCTCTGGGAAGAGAGGGACCAAGCAAAGGCAGGCACCTGGAAAATCCCCATCCGCTGCTTTCCATTCACATAGGAACCGCCACATGCGACCACGAAGTGTCATCTCCATTAATAATTCACCGAAATATCTTGATTCATCAAGTCCAGGAACTTCCTGGGAAGTGTGGGAAAAGACCAGCGGGGCATCTCAGATGTCGAGAGGACTCAAGACCAGCTCAGAGGATGAGAAGCCACACAGCACAAACACACAGTTCACAACAGAGGAGCGTGCCTCTGCCTCCTCTTTATCCCCCCTCCCCCGATTTTATTCCGCTTTAGCTATCGCTACCAAACGATTGGGAAGAAGCTGGCTGCTCTCCACCTCAAGCACGGAGCTGCTCTCTGGGGGGAAGGGGGGCTCGCTGGCACAACCCTCCTCCTCTGCCCTCCCACCGCATTCAGTCGCAAATCCCTGCCCGCCCGGAGGAATCGGCTCCGCGCCCGCTCCGCGCCCCCCCGGCCCCAGTGCGGCAGCTCCGGCAGCCCCGGCAGCCGCAGCGCCGGCGCCAGGGGTGCGGGTGCGCGTATGTGCGGGTGTGTGTGCGCGCCTGCCAGGGAGCCAAGCCGAGAGGGAGGAGTTTGGCTTTATTTTTTTTTTTTTTTTTTCTTCCCCCCCCCCCCCCCTTTTTTTTTTTTTTTTTTTTTATTAATCAGGAGCAGTGAATGGAAACCAATCAGATAGAGAGCCCCCTCGGCTCGGGCTGCCTGCATGCCGGAGTTAAAAAGTGCTGCTGGCCGAGCGGGAGCCCTAGTGCGAGGCGGGGAGGCTGAGCGGCGGGAGAAGGGGCCGGGGAGCTGCGCTGCCGCGCCGCCGACCCGGGCGAGGCTCGGCCGCCTCGTCCCTGCGTGCCGGTAAGGAGATGCGGCTCTGCACCTCTGGAGGGGCAAGTTGTAGCTCTCACCAGCCAGCCGCCTTCTGCTTCCCGCCCTCTCGCCCCCCCTCCTTTTTTTTTCTTATTCTTTCTGCCGTGCTTATTGGGAATGCTAATTAAGGGGGAGGGGGGATGACGGAGGAGGGGGACAGCACTTATTTCGCAAAGTTGGCAGCTGTCTTGCGGAGAGGTCTGCCCCCGCCGCCGTGCCGGGGTGACCCCCCCGGAGCTCCGCGCCCTGCCCGACGCTCAGGGGCGTGCGGGGACCACGTTTGCTGGCGTTGTAAGTCAGGCGAAGGGATGCGGCGTTTTCCTGGGATTGTCATCGCCAGCAAGATACTTCGTGCGAGGAGAGGTGGTGAGAGCGGGAGAAGGGTCGTGTGTGCTTGGAAGGGAATAACAGTAATAATTAGTAATAACAACAGCAAAAGGATGAATAACTAGAACATAATAATTTTTAAAGTCTGTCTCTGTTTCTTGATACTGCCTAGTTGCTTTGAAATGAGTACAGGGCAAAGCCCTTCGCATCATGAGCGAAATCCGAGGCAAAGTGCAGAACTGAATGTAGAGCACAGTTGAAATGAGGCGCTCCCTCAGTGAAAAGAAGGGGGCAGAACGAGCAGATCGGGGGACGTTACAGGAATTGACAAATGTGAAGTCTTTTATTTGATAAAAGAACGGGCTGAGGAGTGCTGGAGGAGGTGGAAGTAAGAGGGTAGGCGTATAGGCATTTTTACAGGAAAGAAGTTTGGTTAATTGCAGAAAGCAAGCACTGAATTTGGTGGTGTAGTAAATGTTTCTAAGGAGCTGGTAACATACTTTCTGTGTCAGCTAGATTGAACTATTTATGTATTCATATGTATTTAACACCTACTTACACGCACGCACCGGGAAAACAGTTTGCATATTACATCTGTGTATTCTTATGCAGAAGGTCGAGTCAAGAGATAAGCAATAGCAGTAGAGGTCAGTGGCTGTGCAAAGGAGTCCTGTCACTGCTGCAATAAAATCCATATTTTACGGAGAGTTAAATGCAGTACTTTTTAAGTGCAAGTGGATGGTCACCTAAGTAACTCCTGATGACATTCAAGGTTGGAGAAGTTTAACGACCGAAATTACTCCCAGCATGATGGCACAGTTACTACTTTTATACAAATTGAGAAGATAGGGCACCTTTTTCCTTTTACTTGTGTGTGTTTTGGGATGTTAAAGTTCTGTTAGCAGTGCATGAGAGATTGAGTAGCACAAATTACTTACAGAGTGTAAGGTCAGTCCTTTCTCCAAATTTACTGTTGTTCTAGCACAGCTGGAATAAAGAGTACAGTTCTTGTCTATTCAAGAATCTCTGAGGATGGAATGTACATCCTACATGTGTATCTCGTGAGCTACATGCATGAACATTTGTGCAAGGAGAACATTACAATCAAGAGCAAGGTTATTTCCATTCCCTTTTGTCACAGGACCGTGTGTAGTAGCATTCTGGAAATGACATAATTTCAAGGGAATAAAATTGCTTGATCGTGCAGACCTCTTTGGTTTTAATCAAAATAGACATAGCTCTCCCAGTCAAGATAAAGGCTTATCTCCTGTATTTGCTGGGCTGAAAATCTCTATTATACAGACAGTTCTTTACAAAAGTACTTGCATGTTACTTAAAACATTCCATAAAATTGATTAACATCTGTTCCTGAGCAATATAATGCTATGGGTAATGGTGCATCCCTGTTCATTTCTTTTTTTTTCTAATTCCTGTTTAAAGGCAATAAGTTTGCATGTCACAGGAGAGTCGGGTAGGGCTCCAAGGCTTGTGATCAAGATTAAGTAGATTCCTTTATCATGGATATATACAGTTTTAAAGGCCTGGCAGCAATGACACAATTGGATAGCTCCTTTAAAGAGCCCAAACATGCTAATAAAGACTGGAAAGCTGAATCTCTTTTTCCTCTCCTCTCAGATGTTATCTGACACAGCACCAGTAAATATATAATCTCATATGCTTCTGGCTTTCAGCTACACTATAATCTTTCTGGATGTATTTCTAGTGGTTTGCAGTTGACTTTTGAGCTGAGGGAGGGAAGAGGAAAGCAGCCAGTCTTTTCAGAATAACATAATCAGAGCAGCAGCAATACCTTTTTTTTTTTTTTTTCCTTTTCTTTTAACCCAGGGAAAATGGCATTGATTCAGTCCTGTTGTAGCTCTCTGCAATTATCCTTTGCAGCCATTTAAGTAACTGGGGTCCCCATAGGGACTTATTAATCCCTCTAGGTATTTTAATTTTCACACCAGTTCACAGCTCTTGCATATCTCCATGCCAGCACTCTAAAGATTATATTTATAGACACGGTCATCATTTTCTAACCAAGTTGTCTGGGTAGAAATGTGCATCTTAACTTCTGACTCTTCTCCCTCCCTTCCTCCCTCCCTTCTTCCCTTGCACAGCTCTTTCATGCAAGCAGTAACCTGCCGCTCAAGGCAGCCTTCCCTTTCATAAAGTTTGCATTTTGCCATCTGCTGTTTCAATAATATTTAGTTGAGAGACTTCCTTCAAAGCAAAACATACACATGTTAAGAAATGTGGGGTTTTTTTCCTGCTCTCTGCAGAAGATCTCAAAACTAATGTGAACTTGATAGAAGTTATGAATGTGCCTGTGCTCTCACCAGCTGAGATTCTTCTCTAAATGAGCAGCCCTCTTCTCAAGAGCATACTGAGTTCCTCTGCACAGGAGCCTCCCTCCAGTCCACTGTCCCCTCAAGTGTGCTACATCATTTTTGCTTTGACTGAAGAAATTTTCAGCATGCTGATATGCTGCTTATTAATAGATTCCTGCAGTATTTTGGGGTTTAGAAGGAACCACTGTTGGGTTTTCTGGTGGTTGCCTGTGTACTGTGTGGTGGTTAAGCAACACTTATCTGTTGTTAAATGAAATGATGGTCGCTATCTCATGCTTAACTGAACTTTTCACTGTGTCACCTGCCCTTTGTTGACTACTTTTAAATTATGTTACCTTTCTAGTGCAATTTTGCAGCATTATGGCTCAAGATGTGCAGGAAATTACTTATGGATCTCCTTGGAAATGGTGGCTAATTACTAAAATGAAAGGTAGCTGAAATCTATAAAAAAGAGTGGGTAGAATGCATTTGAAGCAGCAGGCCCCACTGTGATGGTGCCTCATCTTACATAATGGTTACAATTCCTCTAGTGGCTCTGCTGCAATTATACCAGAATGAAGCAGAATTGGTTTTCAGTATCTTTTGATTATCATAAGCATGTGGGAAAGGCTGTGCCTTGGAAGCTGGGTGTTAGGGAGACTTCTTCATTAACCCCTTGAAGACCTAGTTAGCTGCAGTAACTGCTCCTGTGTCTTAAAAGGCTTTGCATCATTTTCTGTTTCCTATATAATTTCTTGGGTTCAATGCTCTTAGAAACAGGGCTGATAAACTCAGTTGTGGTTATCCTGACTGCCATGGTGGGGTCAAATTCAGGATCTTTTCAATGCATATCTTTAGGTGAGTCCCCCATCCTGAGCACAAAGTGAAGAGTTCTGTGGCACACAGAGCAAATCTCTTCTGCTGACTCGATGCAGGATTCAGTTTGCAGTATAAACACCATTCTCAAGTTTAAATGTGTCCTGGTTGAGATAAAAATCCAGTAGCAGCTGGTTTGCTTATGCTGCATGCTTAGTCATAGCAGACCTTTCCAAGGGGTCTGAAAAATACTATGCTGTGTGAGGAGAAAGGTATGGCATCTTGCCTTGTTTCATTTGGGATGGGGAGAGATGAGATGTAGTGTGAACATTTAGTATTAAATGCAGCTTTTAATTGTCTTCATTGCTTAACAAAAGGTACAGGGCAGATTATTAGTCCTTGTTTTAAAAACACCCTTGAAGAATGCATAATTAATACAAAACATCAGCAGAAAAAATCATCCTCTGGGTTGTGCTGTGAGTGTTGCTGCAGTGGAATTAGGTGGGGAAAGTGCTGGATAAAAGCATTTTTAAAGTTTTAGTGTGAGTTCTTCCTATCCAGTTGTGCTTTCTATGCCATAAATCTCAGCCTAAGTCTCTTTTTGGTTCTTCCCCAATGACTGGCTGATATGTGTTGGGAGTCCATCCAGGTTCAGGTTCCTAAGCTTCTCTAGGGCACTGCTGTGTGTCCTGATCCTGATCACCCATCAACTACTTCCCCGTCCCATTTCAGGCAGGCTTATCCCTCTTTGTACCCGTGACCATCTCCTTAATTCAGGTGGGGCTGGCTGCCACCATAGTCTTCCACTGTATTTTCCTGCTTGTGCATTTGGCACTGAAAGGCCCAAATAAAGACTGTAAATATTTGAGTTTATGCTTTTGTTTGTTTGTAAGCAAGAGCATTCCCAGAAGAAAATAGGATAACTGAATTTCAGGAGCATTGTGAATTAATGTTATTGGCTGGTACATCCAGTCTTGTGGAGCTGCCTGCTCCTTGAGTATTTTTCTCTCTCAAAACAAACCAGAAAGGATAGTTTCCTCTGCAGCTGCAACCCTCTGAGCAGCAGTGAAGATCAATGCTGATGGGGAAGGGTGAGGGGAGCCTGTGAGCCCTGTCAGGATGAAAAGCACTCAACTGGCATGGTGTCCTTCCTGAGTTAGGATGTTGGGTCTCCAAAAAAAATCTTTAAGCAAAGAAGTGATTGCTTAACTGTGATGGTGCCAGAGCACTTGATAGCACCATGCTGAAACATCCAAGATAGAGTGATACTGCATTATCTTTCTTCACACCCAGCCACAAGACACTCTCTCCATACCCTCCTCTTCACCAGGCACATAGACAAAAAGTGCATATACATTTCCATCTGGTCTCATTCAAGAACACTTGCCAGCCTTGCTATGTTTTAAGTAACCTGTTCAATAATGGCTTTATTCTGGCATTGTGGGCAAATATTTTATGGGTTAATTAGCCTGTCTTGTCAGAATATGCATGTATATTTATATATAGTCAGAAAAT